AGTTTGATTATGTGGTTTGGTTTTGGTAGTTTATTTGGGTTTTAAATGCGATTTATTAGTCCTGTTTTGATTAAGTATACGCCTGAGGCTTTGAATTTTTCTATTTTATTTTGTGGGTTTAGGATTGCTTCTAGAGTAAGAGCCTTATTTAGATTGAGGGTGGTTTGTAGTGTAGTTCGGTGTGTTAGGTAGTGGGTGCAGTGTATGAGTGCGTGTTCTGGGGTTTCTTGCTGTTTGCAATGTGGGCAGGTTCCTGTTGCGTGTTTTTTAAAATATATTTTGAGGTGGTTATTTAGGTTGGTATGTCCTGTTTGGAGTTTAGTGCTTACTCTGTCGAATTTTTTGGACGGATGTAGAAATTATGGTTTGGTTAGGTTTTTTTTGAGAACCTTTTTGATTTGGCTATTTGAGTTAAGATATAAGTTATGCCATTTTTTGGTGATTTTTTGTTTGTTGACACTTTTAATTTCTGATTTGTAGATGGGTAGGTTTAAGCTTATTTCTGGGATTGTAAGGGATAGTTTAGCTGCTTTATCGGCGTTTTCATTGCCGTATATTCCTACGTGGGCGGGGATCCAAATGAATACTATTTGTTTGCCTGCCTTAGTTAAATCGTTTGAGCTTTTTAGTATTTGATTTATTAGTTCAGGGCGGTTTTTGGTGTTTTTATTTCGGAGGGCTTGCAGTCCACTGAGCGAGTCGGTAAGTATTAGGATTTTTTTTTTTTTTCAGATTGTTGAATATGAAGGGCTGAGGCCATGCCCATTAGTTCGGCCGTGAATATTGATTGATTGTTTGGGAGTCGGTAGGATTGTGTGGCTTTAGTTGGTTGTGTGATGTGCACTCCGAAACCTGTGTGTTTGGAGATCGGATATGAGGATCCGTCTGTGTAAATGTGACACCAATTTGGCCAATTTTCATGTTTTTGCTAGTGTGGTGGTTTTTGCTATGTTTGGGTAGGTTTGTTTATTTATTGTGCTTGCTAGTGTTATGTCTATTTTGGTTGTTTTGAGTTTTGGGGTGAAGATATTTGATTTTTTACAGTTTTGTTTAAGATTGTTTATTTGGTGTTCATTTAAGTAATTGGTTACCGGTATTCTCTGGGATATTGGAGTAAGTAGAGGGTGTTTTCGAGCTAGGGCTTGGTTTTTGGGGCTGATATTTTTGTTTATTAGGTTTTGGATTAGGGGGTTGGATTGAGACGCGGCCCAGAAATTTAGGGTTAATTGTTCCCTACGTAGATTTAGTGGCATTTCTCCTGTTAAGGCCTGGAGTGATGTGTAGGAGGTGCCATGTTGAGTGCGTGTTATTAGTTTTAGAGCCTGATATTGGATTGAGTCTAGTTTTTTGCTTAGGGATTGGTTTAGGGTGTCGTATATGGCACATCCGTAGTCTATTTTAGATCTAATTAGTGATATATAGAGTGAGAGGAGGGTGTCTTTTGAGGCCCCCCAGTTTGAGCCAGTTAGGCATCTCAGCGTATTTAGATCTTTGCTACATTTAGTTATAAGATTATTTATGTGAGCGTCCCAGGAGAGATGTTCATCGAAAATTAGTCCTAAGAATTTGGTTTGATTTATGTATTGGATTGGTTTGTTGTTTAGCTGGAGTTTTGGGGAGACGGGTTTCATGTTTTTGTGTTTAAATACTATTCCTGTAGTTTTTTCCGAGTTAAGGGAGAATCCCCATTTGTCAGTCCATTGCTGTATTTTTGTTTAGAGATTTTTGAAGTAGGTTTTGGCCCATTTTAATGCTTTTTGTGCGGATCCAGAGGGCTCCATCATCCGCGAATTTAGATGTGGTTATTTTAGGGGATAGGCCCTCGAATAGATCATTTATCATTATATTGAAGAGGGTGGGGCCGAGGATACTGCCCTCGGGAGTGCCATTTTCTAGGGGACATTGGTCCGATAGCGTTTGGTCTATACCCAAGGTTATTTTACGATTGTTTAGGAAGTCCTGGATGTAGTTTATTATTTGTCCTTTGAGTCCTATTTGTGTAGTTTTTGTATTAGCCCGTCGTGCCATACCATGTCGAAAGCTTTGGAGAAGTCTAAGAAGATGCCTGTAGTATATTGTTTGCTGAGTTGTCCTGTTTTAATGTCCTGCTCTAAACGGGCAAGGTTATCTAAGGTTGAGCGGCCAATCATGAACATCGATCTACGCAATTGGGATACGATGACATGCATCAACCAAGTCAGCGAGCCTGACCACCCGATCCCGTTAGTCGCTTCGACTGTGTTGTAGTCATCATGAAGATGATGATCATGAATGAATACACGCAACAAAAGAATAGTGTTGTGACATATTCACTGTCACGATTGATCACTGAAATGACCCCTTTTCCTCCAACATCAGAGCATGTATGTGGGCATTTACTATATGAAGCGCCAGTAAAATCATTGACACAGTGCGGCATCTAAATGACATATTTGTTTAGTTTGTCCCTTGTTTATCGTCGCACTCAGCAATATTCCAGCTACGTGACGGCGGTCAGCACAAAATCGAGTCTGGGCCAGACAGTCCAGTGATTGACACCATGAGCATCGTCCACGCAATTGGGATACAATGGCATTAACCAAGTCAGCGAGTCTGACCATCCGATCCCGATAGTTGCCTTTTACGACAACATAGTCGCCTCTTACGGCAAGCATGGGTTGCTGGAGACCTATTCTAACCCGGATCTTCACGGGTCCCGTGTATACACGGCCGTGGAACATATCGATTTAACAGAGTTGCGGGAAAGTGTATGCAGCTTTCTAAAGAAACAGACATAATATTATGATTATTCTGACTAGTTTGAACTCGTTTGCGACAAAACAAAAGCAATCATTTGTAGGTAATATTATTTATTCAAAAGTAAACAATATAGTGTTAAAGGATTTACGAAGCATGAAATAATTCTAAATTATAAATCAAAGCTGGAGGAGGGTCAGATTAACGCAGGAGAGCCTTTAGGCAGCTGACTGCCATCCCGCTTTGCTTCGCTACGCATGATCGGGGCTTGTGTCAGATTTTTATATCGCCCTCGTCTAGGATTTTGAAACATTGACACGCCTTCAATGTGACTGTTAGAAGCAATTAAGTACTAATCGCTTGTCAGGTTTAATCACGGAATGAATAATGCCTTAATCCCACTTTTAAGAGGATTTGTGTTTATGTTGTAAAAGGCTGAATCTGGAATGATGCTCTTGTTCGAAGCGATTCTGCAACATCGAATGAAAGATCTTTTGGCACTATATTTTATCATTCCTTGTTATTAATAATATTACAGGTGAGGTGAAATGGGATTTAACTGTCGAGCTTAACATGGAGATCCCACTCAGACCCAGTGTACTGGCTCCAAACCATCCACCGCTTATTTTATCCCCTTAATGACGAACGCCAAGCAGGAAAAAAAAATAAATGCCGTTTTTTAAGACGCGGCCGTGGATCGAACCCAGTGACCTACGTTGACCGCTATTCGGGCAGACGCTCTATCCACTAGACCACGGAGGCGGCTTGATAATATTGTAATCTGGAGTTAAAATATTGGATGACTATAATTTGAACATTCTCCATTTACGTTCTACAATGGTTGCAACACAAAGACAGTCTGTAGAGGAAGAGGCCGGTCGGATAGCCTAGTGGTTAAAGCGATCGCTCGTCACGCCGAAGACCCGGGTTCGAATCCCGAGTACAATATATGAAGCCCATTCCTGGTGTCCCCCGCCGTGATATTGCTGGAATATTGCCGAGCGCGGCGTAAAAACAATAATCGCTCACTCACTCACTGTAGAGGAACAGAGTCAATGTGCATGAACGTGGTATATTCACAACATGTACACAATCTCAAATATGTCCTTTACTATATACACCGACATCCCTACGGACTGATTCTATATATGTATCGGGTGGCCCAGTCGTCTAACGCGCCGCAGAGTTGCGTCCCTTGGGCAAGCCAGAAACCTATGATTGTGGGTTCGAATCCCGGTTCGCCCCGATTATGTTTCAAGGTTTGTCAGCACCATACCCGTGCTCGTGGGTTTCGCCGAAGTGGTAAACGTCTGAGACCTGCATCACTTCGGGCTTTCCTTTCACATTAAGCTGACACGCCGTGTTATAACTGGAATTATGTTAAAAGCGGCGTTAAACCCAACTCACTCACTCTATATGTATCCATGCAGACTTATTATTTGAATGTTATGCTAACAAACATACATTTTAGTCTAGACAAGTGTATATTTTATGGAAAAACTATTTGGTATTCACACTAATTAACTCATGAGAATTCCTGATTCAAATAGCTCGCTGACATCCTAGGTTCAATGGGTCAGGCTCGGTGCCGGTCATCTTTCCCCGATGACCTCGGAACTTTCTCATGATATCAATCACTGGATTGTTTTGTCCAGACTCGATCATTTACAGACCGCCGTCATATAGCGTGAATATCGCTGAGTGTGGTGTTAACAACAAACAAACTCAATGAGCGGTATTTTCTACCACCACGAATGAGTGAGTATGGTTTTACGCCGCTTATCGCAATATTCCAGCAATATCACGGCGGGGTACACCAGAAATGGCCTTTACACATTGTACCCGTGTCGAGAATCGAACCCGGGTCTTCGGCGCGACGAGCGAACGCTTCAACCACTGGGCTACCCGACCGACCTCTACGCCACGAGAAAAATATCAAGGACATGTAGCACACTTGGTAGTGCATTCGTTGAAATGGGCTTTACATCTTTGTGATGTTGGGTATATACTTCACGACACCCGCTGGCAGATCTAACAAGTTTTATTCAAACACCCCCATGTTGGTTTACTCGCCAACATTGTATGACGGACGTCATGAAAACAGTTAATGAGCACCTTCATTATCAAGGCCCTTATTTCACATACAGGGAACAATTACTTTAATAACAAGTAGACCCGTGAAGATCCGGGGTAGAATAGGTCTTCAGGAATCCATGCTTGCCGTAAAAGGCGACTATGCTTGTGGTAAGAGGTAGCTAACGGGATCGGGTGGTCAGGCTCGCTGACTTGGTTGATGCATGTCATCGTATCCCAATCGCGTGGATCGATGCTCATGATGTCTTTCATTGGATTGTCTGGCCCAGACTCGATTATTTACATCAATAAATGTTTACCAGTAAGCTCCGAACTGCGTGCAGGAAGTGGACAGATTTGGTGATAGGAGTGTTATGGTATGGGCGGGCATCTCGAACAGTGGGAGAAACGATCCCATCCAGGTGCAAGGCAATCTCACAGCGCGACGTTACTGTGATGAAATCATCAGACCTCTCGTCATTCCATTCACGAACCGTCAAAACGTCATTTACCAGCATGACAATGCTCGACCCCATACCGCAAGATTAACCACAGGTTTGTTGGCCCACAACAACATCCAGGTTCTTCCGCCCCGATTTGGCTTTGCAGGATGAGTATCAGAACATTATGTGGTTTTCACGTGTACTAGACAATACACCAACAGTTTAGCCATGGTACTTCCACAACGAACTTTAATAAATTCTGTGCTTTTTAATGAATTCTGTGATCTTTAATAAATTCTGTGATCTTTAATAAATTCTGTGATCTTTAATAAATTCTGTGATCCCTCCGCTGTATCGACCTAGTCGTTTCCTTTTGTTACGTACGCTGTCGAATGCTCGAAATCCGAACAGAAAATCAATGAAATTACCTGTTTCTGGACAAAGGTTTCACATAAACCTACAATGTGTAGATCAGTTTTTAAATGGGATAACTATATTCCTAAGACTAAATGTAAGTATAGTCTACTTGGTGTGGTACTTCAGTCGGATCAAATCCTTGATAGGCTCGGGCACTGGGAGTCTATGCACAGATGAAGACAAGGATGGGCCCAAGAGATGACGGACTCTTAGAGAGCAGAGTCGTTGAAGAGATCGAACATTCGCATATTCTAAAAATGACTGACGTAATGCACCCCCCTCACAACCCGTGAACACTGGGAGCTCAGAATCCAGAATCCATGTGAAATCTTTGGATATATTATATCCACCCTCGAAAAGCACGTTGATGATTTCGGTGCGAATGTGTGGCTCGACAATGCCACAGGCCAAATGTAACAGGCTGTCGTCAGCTCGGAGATGGTTGTCGTCTGCTCGCATGGCGACTGAATGGTCGGTTTGTTCTTTCTGATGTTTACGACACGACATTCCCGATGCCGACGTGTTAATGTCATCAGATCCATTGGTTTGAGTGGTCGATTGTGTTTTCAGTGTGATATCTCGCTGTGTGTTTGACCACGTGTTTAGGTGGTCAGTTTGGATAACTTCCACCGTTGCGTTCCCCGTTGAACACGAAGGGGACAGGTCCTGCATCAGAGGAGCGTTCCTCTGCACAATATAAGCTAGAATGACACAATCCTTTTTCAACACAGCCATGCGACAGTCTTCAAACTTAGGCACGGCTCCAAGCTCGCATAGACATTTCACATGATCGACATTATTCCTCGAAATAGCTGCCAGTAAGGGCGTGGTTCCTGTGCAAGTGACGTCATTGACGACATCAGGCGTCGTCCCCTTGACGTTTTTGCGACACATTTTCCCAAACGTCTCAACAAGATACACGAGCATATCTCTGTTGTCCCGTTTTGTATCAGCAGCATAGTGGAGAGGGGTGTGGCCCATGTCATCTCTAACGGAAACTGCATGACACTGCCTCAACAGCAGTTCAACAATGTTGATATTCCCATAATACGCTGCATAGTGCAGTGGCGTCTGGCCATGCATAAGAGCCATGCTAGGCTTGAAATCATAGTCCACCAACAACTCAAACATCATTTTATTTCCAGTTCTAGCAGCAATGAATAATGCATGTGACTGTTGTTCAACTCCCTTCAGGCAGCCAAGGCATCGTTCAACTGCTTCACAATCACCACCTGCTACACCGCGAACCAGATCACCCCTGCGTAGTCTCCTATGGCGAATGAGGGCTTCCTGTTCGCTTTCTGTGGCGCGAACAGGTTTGCGCGTCTGTGGTGAGTAATATTGACCATGTTGGTGTTGTTCACAGATCGGTTGTGGTTCCTTCTTCTGAGATGTGTCTGTGAGACCAGCCTCATCTTCATCATCGCTCGACTCTGCTGTGTGCAAAGGTAGAAGAATCTTGAAACCCTTCATAGAGCCATCGTGTTGGTGCCTACACTGCTTTTATGACAGCTTGTTTCCTTAGTCCTGAAACCATAGAGAGTGATACCTTAGTAAATAATAAAGCAACAAAACCCTTTCCATATCGAATAGAAATCTCTGCTTAAAGCAGAGTCGATTTACGATTCCGACTATATAATGAACATATGTTTATTAATCACTATCAAATAGTGATAAATGAATGACACTGACACACACACACACACACACACACACATATAGACCACATCTAGATATGACCTTAACTTTCTACTCTGTCTACTGTGTCTTATCTATACAGAATCTACATTATTAAAGTTACGCTGCCAGCCACCTCATGATATACATGTATATAAATGTTTATACACTATGAATGAAAATAATATGTAATATCTCCATATATACTCACACGCAAAAGAAACGCAAGTCGAGTATGCAGTATACATGTTATTTATTTTCAACAGTAAAGACAAGAAATACTAATAGGTCAAGATTGACAAAAAAATTGACTGAAGACAGTTTAATGGATTAAAAGGCAGATGACATAATTGTTTTTTCAAATGTTAAGGGCTTACACAGTTTCGGGTCAATACCCAAAATGTCAGTCAATACCTGGTGTGACCACCATTAGCATTGATCACTGCCACACATCTCCTGTACATTGAGTGGATCAGACGATTTGTGAAGGCCCAAGGGATCCTCCAGCTGTGCGTAGTTCATCGGCAGTTGTAGGGACTGGGCGCACATTTTGCAGACGCCTTTGAACCTCATCCCACAAGTGTTCGATGGGGTTCAGATCAGGGCTGAGGGCTGGCCACGGTAGAACACGGATGTTGTGTTGTTGCAGAAAGGCCATGGTAGCTCTGGCAACATGGGGACGAGTGTTGTCCTGCTGGAACATGTGTTGTTGATGTTGCGCAAAAAATGGAACAACGTGGGGTCTGATCACCTGGTCGATATACCGCTGAGCAGTGACGCCGTGTCCCCGACCTTGACCAATATTCAGAAAGCACATGGGTCAAAGTCTCGCATTAAGTCCAATCCCTGCCCATATCATGACGCTAGGACCACCCCATGGATCCCTTTCCACAACGTTTCTGTCAGCGAAACGATCAACTCGACGACGCCCAATTCTGACTCTTCTGTCTGCATGGGAGACACAAAAGCGACTTTCATCAGAGAAGATGACACGCCTCCACTCGCAATGACGCCAATTGCGATGACCCTGTGCCCACTGAAGTCGTGCTTGTCGATGCCTTGGATGGAGGACAGGACGACGTGCTGGTCGGCAACATCTGATGTTGTTGGAACGGAGACGTCGGATCACAGTGTCCCGGCTTATTTGTCGATTATGTGTTCCTATGGTCTGTCGAGCACTTTCACTTGCAGTTAGGAACGGATGACGCTTGTGTTGACGGGTAATCTGCTGATCTTGTAGAGGTGTGGTGACCCTAGGACGACCGCTCCGAGGAAGGTCATCTGTGGTCTGTGTAGCATTGTATCGATGCAGGAGACGGTAAGTTGTGGTTGTGTTAACGTTGAAATGACGGGCAACATCTTGAACAGACACTCCAGCTTCCAAACGTCCGATAGCCTGGTTTCTCTGAATTTGAGTTAGGCGTGGCATTGTTGACCAAGGAGTGGTAGGTCCAAGAATCGGCCCCAGTTTTATACCCACTACAGTTCGTGACAGTTCGTGCATTTTCGGTTTCGCGAGAAATGGGTGCATGATACCTATATATATTCATTGAAATGGTGCGTTTTGGCGGTTAGTTTTTTATGTTGCGTTTCTACTCGGGGCTTCCAAAATGCAACCAAAAATATTGATAACACCATCAGGCTTCACTACATGCTAAAAATCAATTTATGGTTCCTTATTTGTTACCTATTTGCTTTAAACCACTTGGGTTTCTTTTGCGTGTGAGTATATAATGTACAACATATATATCTACCTCTCATGTTTATAGTATATTTATTCCCACATAAACTAAGTGGCAAAAGAAAGTAAAGGATGGCAATTTGTAATTTTCCTAAAAACAGCGATAACTAGTGGAAAGTTGGTATTGGGAATATGACTGCCCAGGAACAGGTACCAATCAACACCTCACCCGAACGCGCCGCCTGTGACGGCACTCGTGCGGTGACAAACAAATGGTGAAACAGGTTTTCCGCCTATGGCATAAACTGCACGTGCATGGTAGTTGCATAAATTCGTTCGTCTGCAGGGTATAACCACACGTGATGAAAGCACACAAAAGAAATGCCACGACTGTCACAGGAGCAGAGAGAGAGAGAGAGAGAGAGAGAGAGAGAGAGAGAGAGCCATCGGTATGGCCGATATGGGGGCAACACAGGCCAAAATTGCCAGAAGGTTTGTTTGTACATCATTGACAGTAGCCAGGCTGATTCAACGGCGCAGGCAGACAGGGGGGACACAGGACAGGCCTAGAACCGGACGACGCCGAGTGACAACACCACTGGAAGACGGTCAGATACGGCACATTCACCTGCGAAACAGATTCGTAACGGCGACGGCGACGGCAGCAACAGCGTTGGGACATCCCATTAGCCAACGTACAGTACTACGACGACTCCGTGCTGCTGGAATCCGAGCGTATCGTTCTTTTCCGAAGATTTGGTACTGACTGCTCAATGTCGACGCCTGAGGCTGCGATGGGCGAGGCAGGTTCGACGCTGGCAAATTGAGAAATTCGCGTCGAGTGCTGTTTTCTGATGGAAGTCAGTTTAACTTGTTTCGAAGTGACGGCAGAGAACGTGTGGGGTAGCATTTTGGTACTGGTGATAGCTGTTGCAGGATATTTTTACGTATGGAACAATTTGACCACTCACCCTAGGGACTTCCCGAGCTACATGTATTTGGATTGCGATAACGTTATGTTGACATATATTAGCCAAATTGCCACAAATATGAATTTTAACGAGTCAAAGTATGGCATTTTTAATATATGTATCCATGCTCTAGCAACTTAAGTTCGTTTCAATGCGTCAAAGCGGTAATCTGACCGTGGTTGCTGTATCTCTTCACAAACGATTTCACATAACTTAATGAAAACAATATTAAAGGAAATTTTGAATAAGATTAATAAAATATATTGCAAACACAAATCCAGATATACAATGAACACGTTTTAATAAAAAGATGGTATCATAATGGTATTGAATTGCGTACTTCAGTTCGGATTTGCTGACTGGTATTTTCGGTGTTATATGTACATCTGTCAGTGTAAAACCTGAACTATAACCAAGTTAGCGGTTTATTGAAAGGCACAATAGCGAGGAAACGCTGTACTTGGGATTTGCGTTTCGTATCGTGGCGTATCGATAGATGGGCACACGTTTATCGTATATCCTATCGTGGGTCAAGTATCGCGATGCATCGGAATATCGGTGTATCGTTTCACCCTTACTAGATTATATTATAATTCACAACAAAACCTCTTCTTGTTATTTTTTTATCGATCATGGAACTCGACCTATACGTTCTTTTGCCGCCATGTTTAGATAGTTGGACCCTGCCCTTATAGGGTGTTCTGTACAAGAAAATTCTTGATTCCTGATACCTTACATAAAAGGCAGATGGGTAACTTCTTTTGTACCTTACATAAGAAATTCATCCAATTTTAACTAAATCCCATTTTAAAATGAGTAGTACCCATGATGCAAACACAATGTATTGTAAAAATAGTGATCCTGTTTCTGTCCAGTAAGGGGGCACGGTGGCCCAGTCGTCTAAGGCGCCGTGATTCGCTGTGCAGAGTTGCGTCCCTTGGGCACGCCAGAAACCTATGATTGTGGGTTCGAATCCCGGTTCGCCCCGATTATGTTTCTAGGTTTGTCAGCACCATACCCGTGCTCGTGGGTTTCACCGAAGTGGTAAACGTCTGAGGCCTGCATCCCTTCGGGCTTTCCTCCCACATTAAGCTGACACGCCCTGATATAACTGGAATACTGTTAAACCCAACTCACTCACTCTGTCCAGTAATTACATTGTTTTATTTATTATTACAATGTTGTGACAAGGCCCATCCGCTTACTGGGATAGATTACAAACATGACCATTGTTTTCAACTGTAGTTTTTTGTGTTTATAACGAAAAGTTTACACAGATGTTATAAATCGTTGATTTTATTTCGCGCGTGGCCAAAGCATGCCATAACATTTTAGCAAAGCGACGTTCCAAAACCTGAGCATATTTCTTCCCAGTAGATGGAAAAAAGATAACCCCTTTGTTGTTTGTTACATGAAAAACATTTGCCAGATATACTTATTTACCACAAAAAGAACGATTGTAAATATCATATTTACTAAGTACATTTTAATAATGTATTGAATATGCATAGTATTTTATTATGTAGGATCCATTGCAATCAACCTACTTTTTGTATAATATATTCAAGGCATTCTTTCTATGGTGATGCATAACATTCAAAAGTAAAAACAACAACAATTATTTGTTGTGGCATTATAGGTAACATCTTGACCTGAATATTTATGTAACACATCCATTGGCGTTTCCTGTATCAGTGCAACATCTGGTATATCATTATAATTATTGATATTTCTCTGGAAATGAGGGATACAATGATAAATGAAGCACAGACTCATAAACATTAAGAACTAAATTATTTGCTAAGTGAAGGGCAAGTTAGTATCTACTGGACAGTAGAATCAAAACATTATCGGCAGATTTTAAATGGCAATAAAAAGTTGTACAATGACTCTCTATGGATAATTTTTTGAAAAGTATAAAACACATTTCGAGGTCTCAATCCCTGCAATTCATTCTGTAAGACATGAAAAACTGAATTCCCTTTGGATGTCAACAGAAAACATGGGTCCAAATAGATATGCCTCTGCTTGGTATAAACATGGTCTATTTGTGTCATTAATAGGCACATGTATCAGATTGAGAACACATGAACTCCAGTAGCCCCCCCCCCCCCCCCCCCCCCCCCCCCCCCTCCTCCTCAACTCCACTATCACGCCCTCTCCTCGTCACAGCGTAGCACTTGCGTAATTTGGGATTATCTCTCCACTTAGGTTTATGTCCGGTTACAATGTATATAAACACTATCGATAATACTGAAGTGTGTCCAATATATTCCAATCGTATTCTCACCAGAGTTGGTGAGTGAGTATGGTTTTACGCCGCTGTTTGCAATATTCCAGCAATATCACGGCGGGGGACACCAGTAATGGGCTTCGAGCCCGGGTCTTCGACGTGACAAGCGAACGCTTTAACCACTAGGCTACCCGACCGACCGCATCCCCCCCCCCCCCCCCCCCCACACACACACACACACACACACACTCACACACATACACCATCACCACCAAACGTCTAGAACTCCAGAGATAAGCCTCCGGACAAAAGAAACGCCACCAAAAATATAATGGTCGTCAGTTTTCAACAAATTTGCCAAACAGCACGAACACAGTTGGAAACACATAGCTGGAATGCAACTTACCTATTCCTTGTGAACATGTGCACGTGTTACACGTGATTTGCGAGAAAAGTGAATTTACAAATGCAAAATGTGCACAAAGTTCTGGTATAAAACATGAGCAGGATTGTCCTCTCTCATCACATGAAACTCGACTAACGGCAGAGCAGAGGGAGAGAGCCATTGGTATGTTGCAAATGGGATCGACACAGGGGCACGTTGTCAGGATCATGGGCTGCTTCAAGTACACCGTCGCCTGACTTGTCACACGTCACAGGCAAACTGGCAGTACTGCAAACAGGCTGAGGAGTGGAAAACCCAAGGTCACGACCCCACAGGATGACCGGTATTTCTATCTGTGGCGTCATCACCCGCAAACAGCATTGGACATCCAGTCAGCAGGAGGAACGTTGCTAGGCGACTCCGCCTGTATGGTCTCCGTGCCTATCTACCTTTCAAGGGCATGGCGTTAACGTTTCTACACCTACGTCACAGACTGAGATGGGCCAGGACTGTACAGCAGTGGCAGCAGAGGAATTGACGAAGAGTGTTCTTCAGCGACGAGAGTAGGTGCCAGCTTTCAAGTCTTATGGGCGAGTTCAAATCTACCGACGACGTGGTGAACCGACCAAGAAGTGGGGTCTCATGGAGGTGGTAGTGTCATGGTCTGGGGTAGTATCTGCGGGGACCAGACGACAGATCTGGTCACCATCGACGGAAATCTCACTGCACGTCGTTACATTGATGAGGTTTTGCGGCCCGTGGTACTGCCTTTCCTGCAACGACACCCACGGACGCCGTTTCAGCAGGACAACGCCACCCCTCACACAGCTCGAGTCACTAGCGATTTTCTGAACGCCAACAACGTGACCGTATTACAGTGGCTAGGCTAGCCAGGTCAACGGACCTATCGCCCAGATTCGGACGCAGGATTCGGAAACGTCAACAGCCGCCATTAACGTGGGATGCCTTGGCAATTGCCCTGCAGGAAGATGGCATAGGATCCCTAATCGGGTGTCAGGAGACTCGTGTACTCAGTTCGACGTCGTATGAGGGCCTGCATCGTTGCTGGAGGGGGTCACATTCGATACTGAGCCATGTGTGTAGCACGGGACTTTAAAAGAGATCGACGTCGATTCTGCGGTTGTGATCGAATACTGGACAGTGAACCCAGCGTGATAAACGTGTCTGCAGAACTTTAAGTGCATGGTTTTTTATATTGTTATTTTCAAATACCGTTTATGAATAATTGTTTTTTTTATAATAAATAATAAATTTTGCGTCTGTTTTGTTTTAGACCAGAAAATTGTTTGGCGGCGTTTCTTATGCATGTGAGTTTATGTGTAAATAATACTATCATAATGCATAATTTTAAAAACTTATGGAAACAGTTGATGCGTGGTCGTTTTTATTTACGTTATTTCAAACCTGTACCAACTGACCACATAGAATAACATTCATTCCGTTATGTTTCAGCACCGTTTGGAAAACAAGGAAATTCGTCATTTTATGAGCATAGTACGTTCCTCACATTTGGCACATAAAGGTATAGTACCACATGCCAATATCATTTCCCCTATGTGATGTCGCCTTGGGGCACAGAATCCAACAATTCCCAAAATACATTTTTCCAAACATGAGAGAGTGAGTTGGGTTTAACGCGGCTTTTAACATTATTCCAGTTATATCGCGGCGTGTCAGCTTAATGTGGGAGGAAAGCCCGAAGTGATGCAGGTCTCAGGCGTTTACAATTCGATGAAACCCACGAGCACGGGTATGGTGCTGACAAACCTACAAACATAATCGGGGCGAACCGGGATTCGAACCCACAATCATAGGTTTCTGGCGTGCAAGGGACGCAACTCTGCATAGCGAATCGCGACGCCTTAGACGACTGGGCCACCCGCGCCCCCTTCAAACACGAAGGGGCACATGTATATGCAATTTCATGTTGTGAATGCTATGCACAAGAAGCGAAATCATTTGAACAACCTTCCACACTCTCATGCACGGAAGCCTGAATGAAATGAGTTATGTCACCGCAAAGGGCACCAGATACGTCAACGTGCATAAAATATAACTTGAAAACGTGTCAGATGAAACTATAACTATTTACCTGTTTGAGGTAAATCTTTTCGAGGTAAATATCCGGTACAGTCTCCATTGGGTGCCTGGTCAGAAATGCGACGATCTGTGTCAAGCTTCTTTCCACAGAGAGCAAAGGTGAAAGGTCATGTATTTATATTTCAACAGCTGCCTGACCTTGTCACCTCCCCTGTTATACAATACATGGAGCACGCCTCATTGTGTCAGTACGAACAGAGAAAAAACCTATGAAATCAGTATCTTTGATCGTCATGTTGTTGAAATATAAACGTCGACATGCACACACACAGCATTAGCTAGAACTGCGTATTCTGGTTTGAAGTATATGGTGTCTTCATGTTGACTGCATGTACACAAATCCACCCGTCGGTCAACACAGGTGATGTCCCTAATGTACACAACCAGTTGTCCGGGTAGCATGCCTCAGATAGTCAGGTGAGATGAAATTGGGTTTAACGTCGCGTCCAAGATTATTGCACTTATATAGCGACGTGCATGCACGTGTGTGTGTGTGTGTCTGCTTGTACTAGTCCGGACTAATGCCGATTTATAGTGCTAGCTCACTGAGATACCATGCCGCAGTTTAACATGAATACGCCACTCAGACACGGTATACTGACTCCGAGCCGACCAGTCCTTGTTTTAGCCCCTTAATGCTGAGCGCCAGACAGGGTAACAACAAGTACCATCTTTCAACGTCTTTTGGTATGACGCGGCCGGGGATCGAACCCCGGACCTTCCACTCTCCGGGCGGACGCTCTACCACTAGACCACGGAGGCGGTCCCTCAGATAGTGAGAGTGATCTAAACGTGTTGCTGGAAACTGTACATACTTGGTGCGTCACAAACAAGATAAATCAAGATGAATCGAAATTGGTCCATTTTAGAGGGAAATCTACACCTAGAAACAGATACAATTGTGGTGAGACGGAGCTAGAGATAAGTAACTGCTACAATTACCTGGGAGTTTTATTAACATAGCATTTAGGTTACAATAAAATGGCGAAGTCAGCAACTGAGTCAGCTGGTAGAGTGCTTGGACTCTTGAATTTCCAAATTTAAATCTCTTGGATGCATGCCCTTTAATGTCTTAAGCAAACTATATGACACAATGGTCTGGTCAGTTTTGGACAGCGGGTCATCTATATGGGGTATGACTGTACATTCTTGCGGGAAAGTAATGAAGCACAGACCTTTTCGCTTCTATCAAGGCCTAGGTAAATATGCACCCAATTTAGCTATCAACCGTGATGTTGGGTGGGCAGCCCCCGAAATGTGACAATGGGTTGGTGCCATCTTCACCCAATACACAGGAGTATGTGAAAGTCAGTAATCACAGCTGTTCATATCTGACAGACAAAGGTATTTCTTATTCTGAAACTACTTACTTAAATTGCAGCATATCACGATCCAGAAATGACGGATTAATGGCCAATCACTACTTTTTTAGTGTTGCTGCCATAGTTAAACTTAGATTTGAACTGACAAAGTCAATAATGTCTAATTCCATTTCTTGTCAAAGTGTTTATGTCTATTTTGTTGACAGGTTATTAAACACAGGCCAAGTTTGGTATGTAGTCATATTAATCACTCTGGTGTGGGCCAATGTCACATGATAATTCTCACATGTCATCAGTTTGTAAGTGAATTCTTGTAACTTCGTCTTTCCGTGTCATTCAGTATTAATCATCCTTAATTCACCAAGACTTGAAGACACTGGAGAACAACTAGTTAGTACGTGACAAAGGCCATTGTGGTGGAAAACACTGGAAACATCTCAGCTGATGTTGATGCATACTTATCTTATACAATTGTTAGCTTGTGTTTGTTGTTTAACGCCGCACTCAGCAATATACCAGCTATATGACGGCGGTCAGTAAATAATCGCGTCAGGACCAGACAATCCAGTGATTGCCATCATGAGCATCGTCCACGCAAATTGGATACAATGGCATTAACCAAGTCAGCGAGCCTGACCATCCGATCCCGTTAGTTTCCTCTTGCGACAAACATAGTCGCCTTTTACGGCAAGTATGGGTTCCTGAAGACGCCTTCTACCCCGGATCTTCACGGGTCCAAAACAAAATGTGAACGTGCAGATCTACAATGTTCCGTTCTGGTAATCTGGACTTCTTCCTCGCCCCTGATGTTTGTTTGTTTGTTTTTTTGTTTTTTAACGCCGCACTCAGCAATATATCCAGTTATATGACGGCGGTCAGTAAATAATCGAGTCTGGGCCAGACAGTCCAGTGATTGACATCATGAGCATCGTCCACGAACAGAGAAGGCTGCTGAGTTGATGGCGTTTATTCGGTGGAAGTAGAGTGAAGTTTACTACTTACTTACTTATATTGGAGATTTAACGTGCGCTTTTCGACTGGAATAGTATGTCGCACACGGGCCCGGCCAGGCCATTTAATGTGTTTCCAAAAAGGGGAAAAGTGAGTTTGTGCAACCCAGGAGGGGGGCTTTAGGGGTTGCTTATATAGTAATTTTGAAATTTTGAGATTTGGAAAGAATGCCAAGAGTGGGTGGGGGACGAACTAAGGGAGCTGTGTGTGTTGGGTGGTTGCAAGATAAGGTAGTTTTGGTTTTATTATTTTATTTGGGGTTTAAATGCGACTAATTAGTCCTGTTTTAATTAGATATATGCCTAAGGAAGTTTACTACCACCGACCGCCGTATATATACAACTGAGGCCTTCATTACGTTACATAACTAAAGATCACAACATCCAAGGTGTCAGCGGTTGATCGGCTGTAACCGTAGATGTTTGTGTCATTATTTACGAATTTATTCCAGTAGGTTGTTATTTTTCCTTACTGACCCTTATTTCACAGTCGGACTGACCATGTGTGCCGACCCTGTGACGTGAAGTTAACCCACTAATCACTGGTTCTCAGACGGAGTGACCCTTTGTGTCAGCCTGGCTGGGCAGACTTGCATAATGGGCCACTGTCCCACAGCTGGAGTGACCGTGAGTTTAGCCGCATATGTGAAACATAAAATATCTTGTATGCGGCGGCCAGTTAGTGCATTCACTACATTGAATTTCCCTTAAGAATAGTCATATTAGTTTACCGACATAGGTTGATTATTAAATATTTTCTAGTGGGAATTTGGTGTTAGAAGAAAGCTATGACAATTTCTAAAATTCATGGATTATATACGCAGTCAAAGGCCTCAGTACATTAATATTTATAGAAGACATTAATTCATGCAACTTAAATACATTTGGAAATTGATACATTGATGGTTGTAGGTATGCAATTCGTAAATTCTGATAAAATGGACAAATGAGAATAAAATGGTACTTATCCTCTATTAGCTGTAAATTACAATTCTACATAATCTAATTTCCTTTTGGATTTGGAATATCATTATATGTGTTTGATACATTTGATACACGGAATCCTCTATCGTCATGCTGTGGGTTGTTATTGGATGGCCTTAGATTTAACGGCGCATTTCTGCTTGAGTTGCGACACCTAGCTGTGTCAGGATCCTATGAAAGCAGGCTGGAATCCTTTCCCCACACAGGTTATTGTCCCGTGTCAACGGGTTTCATCAACGAAGTACTCCTGCATCACTTTCCTTCCGTATGGCGTGATAAACCTGAAATACTGGGCAACAAGGGTTAGAAACGACTTACTTACTTACTTACTTTGGAGATTTAACGTGCGTTTTCCGACTGATGCGTATTTCGCACACGGGCCCGGCCAGGCCATTTAATGTGTTTCCGAAAGGGGCGAAAGTGGTGTGTGCAACCCAAGAGGGGGCTTTAGGGGTTGCTTATATAGAATTTGGGAATTTTGAGATTTGGAATAGATGCCGATGGGGTTGGGGAGGAGAACTAAGGGAGCTGGGTATGGTGGATGTTTGTTTGTTTATGTGATTTTGATTTGGTAGATTATTGTGTTTTTAGATGCGTTTTATTAGTTCCGTTTTGATTAAGAATACGCCTATGGCCTTGAAGTTTTCTAGTTTATTTTGTGGGTTTAGTATTGCTTCTAGAGTGAGAGCCTTGTTTAGATTGAGGGTGGTTTGTAATGCGGTTCGATTTGTTAGGTAGTGTGTGCAGTGGATGAGTGCGTGTTCTGGGGTTTCTAGTTATTGCAGTGTGGGCAGTTACCTGTTGTTTTATTTTTAGGTGGTTATTTAGGTTGGTGTGTCCTGTTTGGAGTTTAGTGATAGTGAAACGACACACTCGCTCACTCTTTTATATCACTAAAAACTACACACAGTGTGCCCGCGCGTTGGTGACGTGGAATTGAAGCGTCCGTACAATATTTGACCGGAGACGTTTTCCCCGACTTTAA